CCATAAGGATGCTTCTGTGTGGCTTTCCTCCAGCACAGGGACTTGTAGGAATCCAGAAAGAGAGAGAACAAAAGAAAAAAGTCTGTTGATTCATAAATTCTGATGTTTGAAAGAGAGAAAAGTCAGGTGAAAATGAATGGAAAAAATTCCTGGTTGTGAGGGTGGGGAGGTGCCCAGAGCAGCCCCTGGATCCCTGGCAGTGCCCAAGGCTGGACAGGGCTGGGAGCAGCCTGGGACAGTGGGAGGTGTCCCTGCCATGGCAGGGGTGGCACTGCATGATCTTTAGGGTCTCTCCATCCCAAACCATCCTGGGGTTCCATGATTCCATGTGCTGGCCTTTGGTTCCAGTGTCTCCCTGCACACCTGGTCCTCCAGGGGCTCCCTGGAAGGAGAGCTGTGACAAATAAATCATCCTGGGGAGCTCACACAGGCAGCGGCCAACGAGGCTGCTCAGCCTGGGAGAGGGAACGTGGGGAGGTGGGAGGTTGTGGTTGTGTCTGAAAAGTCATCAATGGCAGGGGAGCTGTGAAACAGAGGAGACAGTTCTGCTTTTCCAGGAGGGGAATATGGGTCAGCAAACGAAAATAACAGCAGCAGCTGAAAGCAAACCATGCTGGGTGACTGGTGAGAGATTTCAGCAAAGCTGTAAAACAGCTTCTGCCAGGAATTTGGGAACTGTGAGATTTTAGCTTTTTTGTGTTTTTTGGTTTTTTTTTTTACAAGGAGGGTGATCAGATATAGGAGCAGAAGCTCCCAGCTGTGGAATTTCCATTGCTGGAGATGCTCAGAGTAAGACTGAACACCCCCTGAGCAGTCAGGTGTAGCTGGAGGGGGGGATTGGGGTAACTGACCTCCCCTCACCCCCTCCAGCCTGCCTTGTCCTGTCACTCCATGGCTGCCTGTGCTCAGAAGCTGTTGGACAGGCAGGTGCTTCCAGACTGCAGTTCACAGGATGGGCAGAGATGTTTTTTCCAGGAGTGGGGTTTTGTTTTCCTCCTTCTGGTTAGGAATTCTATTTATAGTCACCCAGGAGCCTGGAGGGCTGGCTGTGGGCTGGGAATGGGCTTGGCATGGCTTGGAGCTGCCCATGGAGCTGGCCATGGAGCAGGCCATGGAGCTGGCCTTGGAGCTGCCCATGGAGCTGCCGTTGGAGCTGCCCTTGGAGCTGCCCTTGGAGCTGCCCATGGAGCTGCCCTTGGAGCTGCCCTTGGAGCTCCCCTTTGGAGCTGGCCTTGGAGCTCCCCTTTGGAGCTGGCCTTGGAGCTGGCCATGGAGCTGGCCATGGAGCTGCCCTTGGAGCTGGCCATGGAGCTGGCCATGGAGCTGGCCATGGAGCTGCCCTTGGAGCTGGCCTTGGAGCTGGCCATGGAGCAGGCCTTGGAGCTGCCCATGGAGCTGGCCACAGCCTGGGGCTCCACCAGCAAGTGGCTCAGACACTGGGATGAGGCTGTTGCAGGAAATGCTGCAGAGTTTGAGTCCATGGATGTCTCTGCAGGACTCTTGGTGCTGCTGTTGCAGAAGCCATAAGGTCACTTAGGAGTTTGTTCCTTCCTCACTGGTGCCTGTAAAACCCCAAACCAAATCCTGGAGTTTGTGGTTTAGGGGTTATTGTGGAGTCATTTGTTCTCACTGGTGCACTTAAATACAGAATTCCAGGCTGGTTTGGGTTGGAGGGACCTTATCCAGTCACCCCCTGCCATGGCAGGGACACCTCCCACTGTCCCAGGCTGCTCCCAGCCCTGTCCAGCCTGGCCTTGGGCACTGCCAGGGATCCAGGGGCAGCACAGCTGCTCTGGGCACCTGTGCCAGGGCCTCATCAGTGATAGGAAATGATTTCTTGATAGGAAAAATGATAGCAATGATTTCTTGATAGGCATCATGATAGGAATAATTTCTTGCAGCGCTGCTCCTGGAAACTGTTGGGACATCCCAAAAATGGTGATTTTCACCCTTTGGAACAGGAGCGGTGAGGACAGAGGATGAGGATGGAGGCACTGCCAGCACACTGCCATCAGTGTGGAGAGAAACTGCTGCTGGCAGGGCTGTGCCTGGGAGGGATCCATGGAGGATGGCAGATGGGAATGTCCTTCCCTGTCTCCTTGCAGCCCCTTTCCCTCGGGAGTGCTTCCGTGGTGCTGCTGACTCAGCCAGAGCCACGGAGCCAGCTCAGGGCACAGCAGCTCCAACAAAATGCCTTCCAAATATCTTCCAGGGGCTTCTGGCTGTGCTTGGGGGAGCAAGCAAACTGAAAAGTCTCCTAAATAATTCTTGCAGCCTAATGAACAAATGTGATTAAGGTTTGGCAGCTTTTCATGTTCGCTGTAACTAGGAAATGGTCCCAGTTCTGTGCTCTGAGAACACTCTCGTAATTAAACCATGAATGAGAGCAAATGTCCTGATGAGCACAGGACAAATGAATATTAAACCCCAAACCTCTCCTCCTGTAATCCCTGGGGGATGATGCAGGGTTGTGTATCCTGGGATGTCAGAGTCTCTGAGAGATGGAGCCTGAGTTATGGCCCCTCAAGCAGGGAAGGTCTTTACCCAGTTCCCCTGAATTTTAATAATAATAATGATAATAAAAATAATAATAGATGATGGAAGCATGGAATTGTTTCGTTTGGAGGCACCTTAAAGCCCATCCAGTGCCACCCCTGCCATGGCAGGGACACCTCCCACTGTCCCAGGCTGCTCCAAACCAAATCCAGCCTGGCCTGGGCACTGCCAGGGATGCAGGGGCAGCCACAGCTGCTCTGGGAATTCTGTTCTAGGGCCTCACCACCCTCCCAGGAAACAATTCCTTCCCAATATCCCGTCCAACCCTGCCCTGTGGCAGTGGGAAGCCATTCCCTGTGTCCTGTCCTGTTTTTTATTCACCTTCTATTAAGCAACATGAAATAACATGAAATTCTTGTTGCCATTGGTTCAGAAACGTGGAAGCTGCAGGAATTCAGATCCTGAACCTTTGGGTGTTGCAGGATTTGAGGAGCACTCCCTGATCCTGGGAATTCTTGTCATGGGTGCTGCAACCCCTCATCAGCCAGAGGTTTAATGTTGGTGCTGAATTAGCTGAAATAATTAATGACAGCAGCTTTTACCAGCTGGAAGTCACCTTGATGTGGGGGATATTTGAGACTGGTAGGAGTCCAAACGAAGCAGGGAAGCAGAGAGAAGGGAATGGACAGGAGTTGTTTTTCAGGAGAGGGAACTGCTGACAACTGCTGCTGCTGGCATTGCTGGGGATGGAACTGACAGGTGAAACCAGGAGAAGAGAAAGGATTATTGAAATGCAGGGCAGGAATCAGGTAGAGAGGAGCCTATACAGATCAGCTGCAATAAAACCAGGTTTTCCAGGTGAACAGACACAATTCCTAAGGATTTTGCATTAAAGCAGGTGTTCAACCTCTGCATTTTGCTGGTTTTCCTTCACAAGCCTCTTTCATGTGCCCAGGATGCTCAGCCCAGTGCTGCAAGACTGGAAGGCCAGATGGGTAGGAAGGGGTTAAACCAATTCAGGGGCAAAAAAGGCTTATCCTGAGCTTACCCCGGAGTCAGAACATAAAAACAACAGCCCCGTACTCTGGTGGGAGGGAGGCACTGGCTGATTTTATTTTCCTGGCTTGTACCAGGACTGAGCCATCCTCTGAGACACTCCTGTCAAGTCTGACGAGCAGGAAAACGGGGAATAGAAACTGTAATTTCCAAAAGATGTGGAGAACAGGCTGTTTACTGCTGGAATCCTTACCCTGGCCTTGTCACAATCTGTTGCAGGGTTATGAAAAGCAGCGTCCAACACGGATGAGGCTGGGTTTGAATCCCCAGATGACAGGGGAGATGCAGGAATTTGTGCTGGGCTCTTGGCACAGCAGCCTGGCAGGATCCAGCCCAGGGCAGGGTGGATGTGCAGCTGCACCCTGGGGAAGGAGGGCTTGGAAGGGATTTGTAGGGAAGCTGCTGCTTGCTTGTCCCTGGTGCTGAGCAGCACCAAGGGCTGCCGTGGGATTTTGGGGATTTGGGGAGAAAACGTGGGGAAACTGCTCCTAAATGAACGATGTGTTGGGCTGGAGGGCAGCGCTGGTGCTGCTGGGGCTGCTTTGGGTTCTGGGTTCTCAGAGGACACGAGGAGGGGGTGCTGCTCTCCTGCCCCTCAGGGAGCAGCCTGGCTGTGTTCCCTGTCCCCAGCCAGTGTCACAGCCCGGGTGACAATGGCCAGAAGGAACAGTCACAGGGAAAACTGGCACTTGTTGGAGCTGGCTCTGAGCTCTGTGCTGTAACACAGCTCCAGTGAGGGGCCAGTGTGATCCTGTCTGCCAGAGTGGGATCTCCATGTTCCTGCTCTCTTGGGAGTCTTGGAATGGTTTGGATGGAAAGAGGCATTGAGGACCATCCCAAGCCACCCTGCCTTGGCAGGGACACTCCCACTGTCCCAGGCCCTGCAGCAGCTCCAGATGCCTGTGCTGCTGGATCCAGGGTGGCACCTGTGACCTGTGTGACCTTTCCTGTTGCTCCCTTTGGCTGCTGGGAGCCCTCCTGCTCACTGAGGGCTCCAGCTGTGCATGTGGGCAGAAGAAAGGTTGGGCAGGAGCAGCTGTAACAATAGGGATAGCTGGGAACAGAACCCCACTCCAGGATAAGTGTAAAACCTGGAAGAGGTCAGGACTTCACCATGAACCTTCCAACAATTTCTTGTAACACCTTAAAAGATGAGAAGATTTGCTATTTAAAGTAAACCACAGGTTTTCTTCATCTGCTGTCTGGCTTTTCCCACTGGGATAATGTGAGAAATTGGAATCTAACAGCACCTGGATGAACCTGTCCTGTTGCAGGGGAAATCTTTCTTCCTGCAGCTATTCTGGGGTTTAGGAACTTTTCCACTAACACCAGCCTGTGCTGTGTCACTTCTGTCTCCTGCTGCTGCTGTGTTGAATAACAATAAACTAAAAAAAATATCTTAAAAAAAAAAAAAGCTTAAACTTACAAGTGTCCCTTCCTTCCCCCAGCCAAGGCAGAGGAGCCCAAAGCAGCCGAGGCCGTGAGTGGGAACGACATCACTGCTCCTCCCAACAAGGAGCTGCCCCCCAGCCCCGAGAAGAAGAGCAAGGTAGGAGCTGTTCCCTGCTGCCATCTCTGCTCCAGGGCTTTCATTTCCAGCTTTTGTGCTTCCTCAGCTGTGCCACTTCTGTTTTCTGAGCTGCCCCTGGGAGCCCTGTCCCTGCAGCAAACCCGTCCAGTTGGGAGCTGCCAACGGCCCAGCCCGTGGCAAACTTTGATCAAAGTGTGGGAGCTTCATTTCAGGAATTCCCTGGGATTGTAGCAGTAGTAAACGCGTAGTAAACCTGTAGCAACCCCTGTGCTCAGCCCTGCTCTGTGAGCTGCTCCCAGCCCTGCTCAGGCCCCTCTGGCTTTGGAGCTGTGCTCTCAGGAGCTCCCAGCAGGCAGCAGAGTCCCCCCGGTGTCCCCAGCAGGGCTGGGGGGGCCGGGGGCTCTGTCCCCTCGAGCCCTGCCCGTGTGACCACGGGAGCTGATCCCAGGGGATTTGGAGCTCGCAATCCCTGCGTGCCGTAATTGGAAAGCCACGGCCTGTGGATTGCACGTAGCCCTGGATGCCAGGAGCACCCAATTACTAATCCAGCTTTACCAGCCATTCCTTCTGTTGCTTTCCATGCTGCTGCAATAAATCCTGTTGGTTTGGAATTGAATGGCAGAACCCCCCCAGCCCCGGAGTCCGCTGCATTTCAGTCTTTGTTGCACTCAGAAAACAGAAAGCTTCTTCTTCTTATTATTATTATAATTATTATTATTATTTGTTTCCTTTAAAATACCAATTTTCTGTTGTTGCAGCTCAATATTTTGGTTTACAATGCGCTATTTTTTGTTGTATTTCTTTGGTTTTATCCTGGATTTTGCTTTTTGGCCCAACCCTAAAGCCTGCTGCATCCTCCTCCACTGCCAAGGCGGCGGCGGCGAAAGCCAAGCCCTCGGCCAGCACCAGCCCCAAGCGGCCGAGCTCGGCCACCCCGGGCACAAACAAAAAGCCCACGAGCCCAACTGCAGCTCCTGCTCCAGGCACCACCTCCAAACGCCCCGGCACCAGCAGCACCCGTCCCTCCACCCTAACTCCAAAAGAGACTAAACCAAAGGTAAGAACTGCCTGGCTCCGGGAGCACCAGGGCTCACTGCAGGGCAGAACTCCTGTGCCAGGCTGGGACCACTCAGTGTGCTGGGAGCTGCAGGGTGCTTGGAGCAGCTTCCCAGGGATGGCATCGTGTCCCTGGCACTGAACTGTGTCACCACAGAGGAGAATTGAACCTGAGTGTAGTGCTGAGATGGCCCTGATGAGCTGCCATGAGTCGGGGATCCCAGGCTGGGTTGGGTTGGGAGGAACCTTAAAACCCATCCCATCCATATCCATCCCCTCCCATCCATCCCCTCCCATCCATCCCATCCCATCCCACCCCACCCCTGCCATGGCAGGGACACCTTTCACTATCCCAGGCTGCTCCAAGCTCTGTCCAGCCTGGCCTTGGGCACTGCCAGGGATCTAGGGGCAGCCACAGCTGCTCTGGGAATTCCATCCCAGTCCCTTCCCACCTCCCAGTAAGGAATTCCTTCTGTGTACAGCTCCTAAATCCAGACAAGAACATGGGAAATCTGACTGGAGACATTTGATGAGTATTGAAGAAAAACAAAGCCATGTGAATGTTCCTTATTTCCCACCAATGGTCATTTTATGATGTGTGGTCACTGCAGAACTGCCCAGAGAGGACTGATAACACACAGAAAACTCTGGAGATTTGTAACTCCCCAAAAGAGAGGATTCATGGACAGTGTTGCATCTTCCAGATAAGCAGGGAATCCCCATGTGTTGGGAATGGGAGGTGTCCCTTGAATGATCCCTGTGTTAAATTGTGATCTTACAGAGTAGGGGAATTCAGCTTTAAAAGGGAACATCAAAACTATTTCAGAAGCTTTCATTAGTGGCTGAACACCACCACTCCTGCTGTATTAAGCTCAAATTACTGCATTTGAGTGTCTTTTATAAGTAACTAAAAATAACAGAAAAAATAACAGAAGGCAAATGAAAGCCCAGGTGTAAAACTGCACTTTTCTCTGAGCTGGTGACTTCAACTTTTTGTATCTTTTTGATAAAATAATATTTATTCTCATGCGTTAATTCAGTATTTTCATACCTCAGAGATCAGGCAGTTGACAAACAAGTGAGTGGCCAGGGACAGCAGGAAAGAGTTTTCCAAGGAGGGATGAGCCGTGGCCACCCGATTTTCCTGTCCCCACTGTTTAAACAAATTGCAGCTTAGGGATCATTGCTGCTCCTGGAGGGTGGGAATCTCTCCTAGGAGCATTGCTGGTGTTCTGCTGGTTCCATTTTATCCAGAAATCAAAACCTCCTTCCCAGCTGGAGAGGCCCCCACACATCAAAGCTGAGCCCTGGCTGGGAGCTGCTCCTCGCAGGGTCCGTGCTCCGTGTCCTGCCCTCCACACCACCACTCGCTTCTGCACGTCTTAATTATATTTTAATTGCATTATAACCTTTCAGCAGTGCCAGGCTTCATTAAGTGCTGAGGAATTGCAGCGATTCCTGTTCCTTTCAGCCTCTCCTGGCTCTTCCCCTGGCGCTGAGCGCGCGGTTTGCCGGCGCCGTTCCGGCCGCTCTGACGCCGCCCGCTCCGTTTCAGGTCGCGGATGCGAAGCCCGCGGAGAAGAGAACCTCCCTGTCCAAGCCTGCATCCTCCACCACTCCCAAAACTCCTTCCAGGAGCTCCTCTGCTGCTCCCCGGACCACGGCACCGTCGCCGGTGACGGCAGCGGCCGCTGCCAAAACCACGGCGGCCACTCCTCCCAAGAGGCCAACGTGTGAGTGCTCCCTCCTTTCCTGGGGAATACCCTGGCACCAGGGGCTCTGCACAGCTCCTGACAGGAGGGGACAGCTGGGGAACAGGGGCAGGAGGAGAGGGAACGGCCTCAGGCTGGGCAGGGCAGCCTCAGGTGGATATTGGGAATGTTCCTCCTGGAACATTCCTCCTGGCACAGCTGGTGGAGTCCCCACCTCTGGAAGTGTTCACAAGCCGCTCCATCACTGCCTGGATTCTGACAGTAGCTCAAGTGTTCTTCTCTCCAGGGCTTTCTCTTCCAAATTCCCTTCAGGGCCCACCTCCATCAGCTGTGTGTGATCCAGGGTTAATTCAGTTAGTGGACACACTTGATTTAAGAGTGGACATTCTACTCCCTCTGTATTTTGCCATAGGAACAGAATAAACAGCAAATAAAAGTTAAAAAAAGCAAATATTCAGAAGAGGACTTGAAACACCTGAACTGGTGTGTGAAATCCAAAAGGGCTGAGCAGAAGTGGAGGATTTTTAGTAGAGCAGGAAGAATTTGGAGCTGAAATCACATCAGCTTCATCCAAAAATTGTGTCCCACTCGTACTGCTGCTAAAGAGGGAAGTTCCCTTGAGTTCCACAGGAAACCTGAGCAGTGTTTTAAATAAACTAACACTGTTCACACTCCTTTTAATGGAGCTTGAGAGATTTAACATCAGATAAGATTATAGTCAAGTCTTCTCAAGTCTTTTCAAATGACTGGGTCTCAGTGGCAAAATTTGTCAACAAAAGTGTAAAATGAGACAGACTAGTTTAAATCCCAAAGCATGGGTTCATATCCCTGCTTTCCCAAAAGAATTGTCATGTTTTAGCTGTGCTGGATGGATTTGGCCTGATGGACATCCCAGACTTTATGCTGTGGGGGAAAATCTAATTAATCAAGTGTAGAGAAGGTGTTGCACATTCCAGGAGCCACATATCCTGTCTGACAAACTCATTTTGTGAGTAAAACTCATTTTGTGTGGTCTTGGAGGCAAGCGGGAGCCCAGGAATGCAGGATCTGTTCTAATGAGTTGGGCTCATTGCTGCTGCCCAAACTGAGCCACAAACAAAGCAGTGTTTGCTGCTGCCATCTGAAAGGAGATGGAGGCAGCCATGCAGAGCTGCAGGGAGCTGTTCCAAGAGGCAGGAGGGGCAGGGCAAGGGGCTGTGGCACCAGGAACGTGGTGGGACCCTGCCAGAGCACAGGCCCTGGGGTGAGGGAGGATGAGGTCAGCTGGAGGGACTCCATGGGGAGGCTGAGAAATCTGGATCTGGAAATGCACAGGGAAGGCAGGAATAGGAAGAGCAGGGTGTCCTGTTCTGGGTCAGGTGGAAGCAGGGGTGGGACGGAGGGTGGAAGGTGCCCTGGGGTCTCAAGGGAACCACAGAGAGTCCAATGCTCAGGGTTTGGTTTGGTTTGGTTGGGTTGGGTTGGATTGGGTTGGGTTGGGTTGGGTTTGGTTTGGTTTGGTTTGGTTTTATTTGGTTTGGTTTGGTTGGGCTGGGTTTGGTTTGGTTTGGTTTGGTTTGGTTTGGTTGGGCTGGGTTTCATTTGGTTTGGTTGGGTTTGGTGTGGTTTGGTTTGGTTTGGTTTGGGTGAGATGTGGCTGGGAACACCTGGAGCTCTTGGGGTCACAGCTCTGGTGTCACAGATCCTTTAGAGGAGGGGACAGCCGGGGGGTCAGGCTCAGCGTGGATATTGGGAATATTCCTCATGGAAAGGGTGGTCAGGCCTTGGAATGGGCTGGGCAGGGCAGTGGTGGAGTCCCCATCCCCAGAGAGATTTCAGAGCCACAGGGATGTGGCACTTGGGGACATGGTCAGTGGTGGGGAACAGTTGTACTGGATGGTCTGGCAGGGCTTTTCCAACCATGGTGATTCCATGGATTTAGTTTCTCACAACACAGTGTTGACCCAGACAATAACTTTGGGGTGGGGATAAGATGCTCTTTCAGGACAGCTGCTGGTGCTTTTCTCGTGCCAGGCACTCGGTGCCTTGAGCTGCCATCAAGTTTCAGTCGTTGTCTCACATGAAATGTGTCTGTAAAGGCCAGTTTGACATGATGTAGTTCCACTTTTTCAGGTATTTTCAGGTCAGTCATTTTCTCTGATAAAGGAGAGCCGTGGGTTATGTGGGGCTTGATGTTTTGATTTTTAATTTTATTTCTTCATTAGTTTTTGCCCCCCTCCCTGTGGAAATGACTTCAATGTTTGTACAAGACCACGCTCAGCCCTTCAGATCAGGCACAGATCAAAGTGTGTCACACAGACCCTTGTCCCAGGGGCTCTGTCTGGGTTTTCAGCACCTCACCTTCATACAAACAGAAGTGTTCAGCATTTGGCTCCCCACTGACACCAGCAGACAAAACATCTCTGTATATTAATGTAACATAATATTCCTCTGCCTTTTACACAAACCTAAGGCTGTTCTGTCCGTGCAGTTTCCCCAATTAAAGTTGTGGTCTCGAGGAATGAAATTAGGTTGGTTTGCCAGCCCCTTGTTTGAAGTGTTTGCTATTAATTATGTATCCATCCTTTAGGCCTTATTAAATTATCCAAATGGGTTTCACCTCATTAGCTGGAATCTTATCTGGGGTGTTTAATTGAATGCTTTTAGCAAAGTCAGGGTGGAATGATCCAGACTAACTTGGCCTGTAGTTGTCTGCCTCTTCCCCTTGGTCTTTTTGGTATTGATATTCCATAAAGGACCCTGACAGCTGCTGGAGTGTATCTAAAAATCTGAGGCTTAATGGGAATTAAATATTAAAAAATGAGGGTTTTCATAATTTCTAACTTGGGTCTTTTCCATTTATTATTTCTTTTCAATGTTGCCTTCCTTTGGCTGTTGAAATTAAGCAGATTTTACCCAAACGTGCTCATCACTAATAGTAAAAACCCTACCATTTCATGATCAAAGAGTTCCATAAAATAAAGTCCCATTTCTGTTTTTCATTCTGTGGGTTTTGCCTTGATCAATCTGGTGTTTGGTTTTCTCCTGCCTGGAGAAGTGTGGCTGCATCCCTGGTTTAGAGTGTCCTCTGTGCAGTGTAATCAGGTCGTGATCGTTGGGCTTTGCCCAAAGGCAGCTCAGTTTAGGGATTGATTTTTGGGTTTATACAATTAAAATAGGAGCCAAAATATGTGCAATAACTCCTGTGCAAGAAAATTGGCACAGGGTAGGACTGGTCTGGCAATGAGAGCAAGGTTGGGCAAGGACAAATGTGGGGCTGCTTTTGGTCCTTTGTAAAGAAAGGAAATGTTCTGGGGTGGGGTTTTTTTGCTTGGTTGGGGTTTTTTTAAGAAATTAAGATGTGGCAGAATTAAAATACTCTGGTGAATGCTGTCAGGTTCAGGAAGTTAATGTGAGGAGAAGCAAAATGCAGCCCATCCCCGGTGTGTGGTGTCACCGAGCGAGGATCCTTTGACAAGGATTGGTGCTTTGGCTGCCAAACACCAGGGGGTTGTGGTGGCAGCAGGAGCTGCCCAGGCAGGGGCTCACACAGAGCAGGCAGTCCTGGGCTGGTTCCAGGCTGGAATGCTGCAGGGATCTCCCCTGACCGCTGTGTTTGTGTTGGCAGCCATCAAGACAGACACGAAGCCGGCAGATGCCAAGAAACCCCCTGCAAAGTCTCCCTCAGGTAACCGCTCACTTCCCTCCTCACCTGGACTCAGGGAAGTCCATCTGGGAAAAGCCTGCAAGGCCATCGAGCCCATCTGTCCCCAGCACTGCCAAGGCCACCCCTGACCCTGTCCCCAGTGCCACATCCACCTGGATGTCACATCCCTCCAGCCATGGGGATTCTGTGCCCTGGGCAGCTGTGGCAGGGCTGGACAGCCCTTTCCAGGAAGGAATATTCCCAATATCCACCTGAACCTCTCCTGGCACAGCCTGGGGCTGTTTCCTCAGTCTGAATCAAATCCCCTTTGCTGGGGCTGGGGTCATTGAGGGGTCCCTGTACATTTCTGGGAAGGGCGGTGTCCCAGGCCGGGCTGGAGGGGACATGGAGCACCTGGGACAGTGAAGGGGTTCCTGCCGTGGCAGGCTGGGATGAGCTGATCTTTGAGTCCCAGCCCGTGCTGGGGGTGTGTGACCGAGGCAGCTCCTGAGCCCTGTTCCCCCCTTCCCTCCTGACTGCTGCCATCCCACAGCAGATTCCAGCCGCCCCAAGAGCGCTCCCGGCGGTGCCACCAAGAGCAGCGCCACCACTCCTTCCCCCGCGGCCTCCAGCGTGCCCGGCGCGGCCCCCAGCCGGCCCAAGCCCAAAGCCACGGCTCCCAAAGCCGCCACGGCCTCCACGGTGTCGGCGGACGCCAAGAAAGCCCCGGCCAAGGCCGCGGGCAGCAAAGGCAGCGCCGGAGCCGCTCCCCGGGCGCCGCGCCCCGCCAGCGCCGCCGGGCCCGACCTGCGCCACGTCCGCTCCAAGATCGGCTCCACCGACAACATCAAGCACCAGCCCGGCGGGGGCAAGGTGAGCCCCGCTCTGTCCGCCTGCCCGGGCTCCGTGCCGGGCTCTGCTGGGCTGGTGGCTGTGTCCTCGCTGCTCTCTCGAGCTCCTCGCTGGGTCCTGCTGGGGCAGAGCGCGGGGTCCCCCCAGAGCCAGCCCTGCCCCAGAGCGGGAGCCCAGAGCTCCAGTGCTGCTCTCCTGCCCCAGGGCCTGGCACACGAACACCCTGTGCCGCCCTCAGGCCTGTCCGTAGTCCAGCCCTTTGCCCGTAAGGAGCCGTACAGAAGTGGAATAGTGCTCTAGGATGAGGGAAATGTGGGTTGCACAGCACCTTTCCCAGGCCCAGCTCATCAGGCCCGAAGCTGACGTTAAATGAGTCTTTTGGGATTCCAGTGGTGGGCATGAGGAGAGGGTAGAGCTGGAAAACCATTACCAGAGAGGAAACCTGGGGGTCTCGCTGCCTCTTAATGCCCTTAGGTGGCACTTCCACCATCAGCAGGTCCCATGGAAGGGACAGAGGTGGGATCCACCTGCTGAGCACTGAACAGCGTGGCTGTGCGGAGCACAGAGCCCTGCTTAGCTGTTGTGTAAGCCCAGCCTTGGCCTGGCCACGTGTGTCAGCAGCAGCCAGAGGGCTGTGACCCCCCCAGTGGGACACAGATCTTTCCATTCTCTTTGCTGCAGCTCTGTGGTGCTGAATAACCCGGCCCAGAACTTTAATCTGCTGCCAAGGGAGCACGTTCCATGCTGGGAGAGCTTTAATCTGCTCTCAGGCACATTAAAGTCAAGGGCACTCCTGGCTGGGTGTTGTGTGTCCCAGACAGCATCGATACAGCATGGATTTATCCTCAGAGCCAGCAGTCTCCTGGCTGTGCAGCAGCTCAGGGGACTTTCATTTGCATTTAATTGCACTGTCCTTGATTTTCTAAATATTTTCATAGAGTTATTAAATCCTAACAATTGCCTTGTTAAGCAAATTGTCCTTTTTGTAGTCTTATTTACACTGAGCTGGTTTTAGAGTCTGAGAATTGTTGTAGTGTTGGGGTTTTTTTGTTCACTGGTCTTTAGGTTAGTGAAATACAAAATTTATGCTAAGCCCCCCCAAAAATGCAGGTCCTGCTGCACTCCCTGCATCTAAACTACCAAAACAATGGATATCCTCGGGTTGCTAAATTTTTGTGAAACCTGTGAATTTTCCTTTGATTTTCTGCTCAGCTGGACTCTCTGGGTGCACCTGCCCTTTGGTAGATAAAAACCAAAGGAGCTGCTGAGCTCCAAGGCTGAGGGCAGTGTGCTGGGTGGGAATCTGAGCTGGGAGCTCAGGGTGTGTGTCCAGCAGAGCCCCCAGAGCCCCAGACCTGCCCTGGGTGTCTTCACCTCCCAGACCTGCACCGCCTCCTCCACGTGAAGGAGCTGCTCCTGCTCTGCTCTTGGGCTCCCCAGGGATTTGGTTGGATTTTTTTGGCAGGATCATTGTCCTGGGGTGGCTTGCATCCCGAGGAAGGGCACCAGGAGCTTTTTGAGAAGTGCCCTGGGCTGGGCACTGCCGTGCCCTCGGTGTCACCGCTCCTGGGCACGGATTGTCCTTGACCTGGGAATCAGAGCCTGCAAGGAGTTCTCCTGGGTCAGCTCTGCAGCAGGTCCAGCCGTGTTCCCGTGCTCCTGGCCACACTTGTGCTTTTGCTGGTTGAAATCATCCCTTTGTCTCCATCCAGGGGAAGGTAGAGAAAAGGCCAGAGTCAGCCGCCGCCGCGCCCAGCTCTGAGCCCAGCGCGGGCACTAAAGTGGCTCCTAAAGTGGCAGCAAAAGAGGGGGTCCCCAAACAGCCCAATGGGAAAGTGAGTTGCTTTCACACTTTTCTCTGGGGGAGATGAAGGAAAACGTTTCCATTTTGAGTCACTGTCCCTCCTCTCCAGCTGTCCTGCTCTCTCCTGTCAGTGGCATTGTTCCTCGCACAGACACTTCCCCTTCTCTCCCGTGCACCCTGAGGTGTTCCCAGGGAAATTCCTGCAGGGAGGGACCTTCTCCACTCCTGCTGGAGAGCTTTCCAGAGCAGTGTCCTCCTGTTTCACCTCCAGGTTAATACAGGGTAACTTGGAGTCAGAGGGTTTCCCTTAAACCAGTTCTTCACACACAGAACCAGTTTGTAACGAGGCAGAGAGGTTGAGTTCACAGCAGCTTCATTCAGGACTGCACAATATGTAGGAATTCACATCTTCCCTGCAATATTCCCAGCCCAGTAGTACCAAAACTCTGTAACTCCAAGCCTTAGGCCATCACCACTGGATGGGTTCCTCCAAAGTGCCAGTGGATGGTGCGAGGTGGGAGTGGCACAGTTTCATTCCAATATTACCAGGCAGGAATGGTCAGGAATGAGCAGGATTTGTACCTCTAGGGAGTCAGTGAAGCACCCCACACTCCATGGCACAGGTGTGTTCCCAGAGCTGCTGTTCTGAGTGCAGCCTTTCAGAGCTGGCTGAGGAGCTCTGGGAGCCTGCCCAGGTGAGAGTGTTGGGTGATCCCTGCTGTGCTCCAAGCTTTCACCTCTTGTAGGAGCCAGGATCCAGCTGGGGCTTGCTTGTGCTGTGGTAAATAACTCAGCTCCAGACCAAACCTGTGTTGTAACTAACCTCTGTAAACACTGGTGTCTAACCCAGTTACTGCTGTGAGTAGAGCTCACCTAAACCACTCCTCTTGCCTTAAAAGTCACAGACTCCCTGAGGCTGGAGAAGCCCTGTGAGATCATGGAGTCCAGCCATCCCCAGCACTGCCAAGCCACCACCAACCACGTTCTCACACCCCTAATCTGAGTCAGTGTGAAGGAGAAACCCTTTCATTAACCTAAGACTCATCTGAGCTCATTCCACTGAAGGTCATTCCACCTTCAATAGAAGAATGTTTCTCAGACCCAGCTGTACTGCCCAGGGCTTTGGAGGGACATTACCCAGGGCTGGAGCCAGTCCAGGTGTGGGCATGGAGCAGCTCACAGCGTGCTGGGAGTGGTGCCTCTGGGGGCTGGCTCTCCCTGCTCTGGAACAGTTCTCAGCTGTCCTGGAACCCTCCCAGGAGGCTCCTGGGCCATGGACAGTCCCATCCCACCTGGCTGTCCCTGCTCCAGGAGGTTTCCAGGCCCTGGGTAGTCCCATCCTGTCCCTCTGGGCTGGCTCTCCCTGCTCCAGAGAGGTTTCCTTGCCCTGGGTAGTCCCATCCTGTCCCTCTGGGCTGGCTCTCCCTGCTCCAGAGAGGTTTCCTTGCCCTGGGCAGTGCCATCCTGTCCCTCTGGGCTGGCTGTCCCTGCTCAGGGGGGTCCCAGGCCCTGGGCAGTGCCACCCCAGCCCACCCCAGGGCTCTGCAGGGTCTGTCCCCGGGTGCTCCCAGCCTGGCACTAACACTGTCTGTGCAGCCTCCTGTCCTTCACTGTCTCTCACTCTCCTCCTTGGTGGCTTCCCCCAGCACTGGTCGAGCTGCTCAGGGTCCCTGGTGCCCCAGAGCCCTGTGCCCCTGCAGAATGACAACTCTAACCAGTCCTCTTCCCTTGTGTTGTTTCCGTTCTGTGACGTTCCAGGTCCAGATAGTCTCCAAAAAAGCGAACTACAGCCATGTTCAGTCCAAGTGTGGTTCCAAGGACAATATTAAGCATGTCCCTGGAGGTGGGAATGTAAGTATGGCTCTGGGCAAGCTGTGTGTCTGCTAACTCCTTCTCTCTGCTGCGGTGGTGTGCCAGCCCCAGGAGTGCTGTGCTGAGGCAGGAGCCGTGGCAGAGCCCCAGGGCTGCTGGACACAGCTCAGGCTGGAGGATTCTTGCACTTCTCTGGGGCTGCCAGGCTGAACTGTGGCTTTGTTTCAGTACAGCTACAGCAGGGCTGGTCCTGCTCTCTGGGCTGGCTGTGACCCACACAGGGGTGGGGACGTGGCTGAGCCTGGGACTGAGCTCACCCCCTGACCTCCCTGGAGCCTGCCTTTCCCAGAGCTGATCCATTATGGCCTGGCAGTGCCTGTGACTCTGCCCTGCCTCACAGGGCCAGCTGGAGCCACACTCATTCACTCCTTGTTTCATAAAAGGGACTTGGGAGCAGGCAAAGACTCCGGGACTTAACCTTTGAGCTGAGATTAATTTCTAAATTTAAAGGCTGCTGGTATCTCTGGCAGCAGGGCTGAGCTTATTAAAATAGAAAGTTAATCTGGTGGTGTCTGCAGCTTGGTTTGGGGTGTTGGGTGTTCCAAGTGTCTGCCAGGCAAGCCAGGTTCACTGTCCAGCCCCTACCAGCATGGTCTGGGGGCTCAGTCACTGGGGCACATCTGTGCTGCCCTGCCAGACCTGGGCCGGGCTCTTGGCACAGGGCAGGTTCAGCAATGCAAAGTTTGGGTGGCTTCAAAGACACTGAAGGACCTGAGCCCAAGGAAGTTTGTTCTGAGGTGTTTAAATATCCTGGGCTCCTGAGGAGGGATGGCCAGCTGCCACATCTGTGAGGTGCCCAGGGTGTCTGGTCAGAGCCTGGTGCAGTGACACAAACCCTGCTCAGGACCTGCCTCTGGAGCCAGCTGGGGACCATTTCACCTGGGAAATCCATGTCCAGCTGGCTGAACCTCTACATGACTGAGTTTTCCACAAATCTTTGCAAGTGGCAACCAAATGTGGGTTCCTGACAGCTGGTTCCCTCCAGGGTGGCCAGAGATGCTGAAGTCCCAGCTGTGCCACTGAACCCAGGCTGCCTTCCCACATCCCTGCTCTGGGGATTTGGGATTTGTGGTTCTCTGCTGTTTCCATGATGTACACCATGTTTCTGGGACTGTTTCCCATGGAAATGCCCCACAGGATACCTGGCCATGCTGGCCTCGAGCCCTGGTGTCCATGGGAGCCCTCGGGGGGTTTGAGCCCTGTTTCTATTCCTGCTGCCCCCAGCCTGAACCAGACTTGGTGGCAGAAGTGCCTGTGGCCACACTGGTGACAGCTCTGGGGCAGCTGTGGCACTTCCCTGCCCGTGCACTCCAAGGAGCTGTGCTTTCTAAACCACTTCAGTGTTCACCTTCAGCTTGCTCAGCCTTTCAGGAGCCTCACAGGTCCTCTCCTGTTCTTTCAGCACTGGGGCTGGGATGTGGGGGATCTTTCCTTGCCTGATTAACTGTGTCAGTGAAGTGTCCTTCTGCTCGTGAGTCACCATCCTGTCCTTCCCTCTGCACTGCCAGACATTCCCAGCCCTGGGGACAGCTGTATCCCTGCTTTCTTCTCCTCTTCTCCTCTCCCACACTCTCCTTTCACCACTGCAGTTCTGCTCCTTGCTGCTTAAGCAGCTCTTTATTCTGCCTTTTCTGAGCCAAAAGCTCATTTCCAGGCTCCAAATGCTCCCAGAGCAGCTCCAGGAGAGCATTCCCAGCCCTCCAGCACAGGCAGTGTGGATGTGAGTGCTCAGTCTGTCTTCCTAAAAAATCCTTTCTTATTTTTCTTTTATTCATTTTTGTATCTTCCCACTCCCTTTGGAGCACTGTGATGTTAGTGATCTCTTCCAGGATGTTTTCTTGCTCAGGTAGTTGTGATGATCACCTCTGATGGAATTCCCAGTGTTTAATTCCCAGGTGGGTCTGTGCCTTCAGTTAGAGCTTTCAGGAATCCTGTGGACAAGTGTGTTGTGCTTTAGAAACAATTCCTGATTGAGCTTTAGGATTGCTCTGGTAGAGGTGATGGCCATGGAATGGTTTGGGTTGGAAAGGACCTTAGAGACACTGAGTGCCACCCCTGCCATGGCAGGGCCACCTTCCCCTGCCCCAGCTGCTCCAGCCCTGCCCAGCCTGGCCTGGGCACTGCAGGGTGGGCACTGTGCTGCCCCAGTGGCTCCAGGCTGCCCATTCTGCCCTCTGCCCAAGGAGACCATTTCCTCTCCTTGCCAAGATTCCCCAGGAGCTTGCCCAAAAGCAGCAGCTGTTGTTGCTGCCCACCAGAAGTACAAACATAGCTCAGTTCCTGGGGAAAAGGGTTGGATGGGTTTTTGTTTGGTATTTCCCACTCTCAGAACCACTGAGGTTGCAAAAGATCTCCAAGACCATGGAGTCCAAGCTCTGAGCAAGGTTGCTGTTCCAAGAAAGCAGAACAGAGGTGGATTTCACAAAGTGCAGCCAGTGTCTGTGGGTGAAGGAGGTTTGGGAAGGAGTTTGGAGTCCCTGAGCTCCCCTGGCCTTGGGCTTGGCTGCACTGGGCCGTGGTCAGAGACACAAGAGCTAACAAGAGCTGAGGCTCTCTCCACCTGAGCCAAACTCCAAAGTTTATTTCTGGCACCACACTCTGTGCTTGGCTCTCCAATGCAAAGCCAAGGTGCAGACCCAGCTCCTGCTGGAAGTGCTACAAACAGACCCTTCCCTGAGGGTGGCACAGTTTCATCTCAGCTCAGGAGTCACAGCTGGCAACAAACTGCAGGATTTCCAAGTGCATTCTGTGAAATCAATTTAATCTCAGCTCAGTTCTGAGCGAGCAAGGACTGGTGATTAAAGCTGTAGTAACTTCACTCCTGAGAAAACCAAATCAGGGTCTGTGACTGACCTTGGCAGGGTGTCACTGAGCTGGGGACGTGGGACCTGGCAGGGGCTCAGCTGGGCTGTCCTGCCCCCCCTGCAGCATCCAGGGGCTCCTCCCTGGGCACACAGAGCAGGAGGATCCCTGCTTCCCTGGGAGGAGTTCTGGCAAATTCTCCTGAGAGCTCTCAGTAAACTCCCAGAGCAGCTGGTGGTCAAGGAATTCTTGTCACGTTGGAAAGGAAATCCTTGGGTTTCCTCTGTGAGCTGACCTGGGGCAGAAGTTCTGAGCCTGCAGCTCCAGCTGTGGCTGCTCTCAGCCCTGGCCTTGGTCTTGGAGAGGGATGGGTTCCTGCAGCAGTGCATTCCATCTGGGCACCAGGATCCCTCTGAGAATTCCAGACTGCTTGGAGTGCAGGGACCTTAAGGATGATCCAGTGGCACCCTGCCATGGCAGGGACACCTCCCACTGTCCCAGGCTGCTCCAAGCCCTGTCCAGCCTGGCCTTGGGCACTGCCAGGGATCCAGGGGCAGCCACAGCTGCTCTGGGCACCTGTGCCAGGGCCTGCCCACCCTCACAGGGAACAATTCCTAATTCCCAGTATCCCATCCATCCCTGCCCTCTGGCAGTGGGAGCCATTCCCTGTGTCCTGTCCCTCCATCCTTGTCCCCAGTCCCTCTCCAGCTCTCCTGGAGCCCCTCCAGGCCCTGGCAGGGCTCTGAGCTCTCCCTGGAGCTGCTCCTCTCCAGGCTGGACAGGATGGTGCAGAGCAGGGGCTGGAGCTGTGGCACAGCCCTGCAGCAGGGCTCCCTGAGGTGGCCCCAGCCCTGGTGGCACTGCCCAGGCCATGGCCGTGTCCCAGCTGGGCAGGAGCCCTGTGGGGACCCTGGCAGCAGGGTTGGCTTTTATTGTCCTGTTCCAGGGCTTCTGTGTCCCGTGGCTGTGCTGAGCTCAGCCCTGTGCTGTTCTGTCCCTCTGTCCTGCTGTCTGTCTCAGCTCTGTCTCACCTTGGCCCCTGGCTCTGGGTGACCCCAGGGTGGCCAGGAATGCCAGGCAGGATTCTGGGAATCTGCAGGAGGACTGAGAGCAGGGACACAGGCTCACAGAGCACAGCCTGAGGTGCCCTTTGGCCTCCAGAGTCTGAAGGGGTTTCTCTGTGCTCAGCTGCTGCTTTTTGTCTCCCCAGGTGCAGATCCAGAACAAGAAAGTCGACCTTTCCAAAGTGTCCTCCAAGTGTGGATCTAAAGCAAATATCAAGCATAAGCCAGGTAGGAATTTTGCCATTTCCTCCTTTGTCTTTAAGTTTTGTCCCTTAAATGCAGCCCTGGATTGGGACTGGAATAGTTTTGGGGGCTTGCTGCTTTCAGGGGATGTCCCCAGGGCTTCTGGAAATTCCTAAAAAATGCTTCTTCCACAGTTCCTGGTGGTTTTAAGAGCAGAGAGGGGGATTAGACATGTGGGATGTCCTCTTGCCTGTAAAGATAATCTACAGCTTTGACTCATTTCTGCTTTTCCTGCTCATTTGAGAAGGAAAACAGGAATGCTTCCATAATCATTCCAGGAAGCTTCATCCATGCTCACAGAGGCTTTGGGGCACCTGGAACATCCCAGGATGTTCGTGGAACGTGGCAGGATGAAGGGAATTCCCTGCAGTCCTTCAGATGAGCCTTGAGTCCCCAGCAGCTCCTGCCTCATGAAACCCTTCTGGCCCCTGGGTGAATTTTCTGGGAGGAGTGTGGGAATGACCTGCTCCCTGCTGGGAACACAGCAGTTCCTCTGCCTGAATTCCTGGGAATCTCGGGTTTGTCCCCAGCCCAAGGTGCTGGGAGTGGAGGCCCCAGGCTTGGCCTGAGGGATGGTCACTTCAGTGTCCTTGAGCTGATGGTCACTTCAGTGTCCTGGCGCTGATGGTCAGTTCAGTGTCCTGGCGCTGATGGTCAGTTCAGTGTCCTGGCGCTGATGGTCAGTTCCGTGTCCTGGTGCTGATGGTCAGTTCCGTGTCCTGGAGCTGATGGTCAGTTCATTGTCTGAGCTGATGGTCAGTTCAGTGTCCTGGTGCTGATGGTCAGTTCCGTGTCCTGGTGCTGATGGTCAGTTCCGTGTCCTGGTGCTGATGGTCAGTTCCGTGTCCTGGTGCTGATGGTCAGTTCCGTGTCCTGGTGCTGATGGTCAGTTCCGTGTCCTGGTGCTGATGGTCAGTTCCGTGTCCTGGTGCTGATGGTCAGTTCCGTGTCCTGGTGCTGATGGTCAGTTCCGTGTCCTGGTGCTGATGGTCAGTTCCGTGTCCTGGTGCTGATGGTCAGTTCCGTGTCCTGGTGCTGATGGTCAGTTCCGTGTCCTGGTGCTGATGGTCAGTTCCGTGTCCTGGTGCTGATGGTCAGTTCCGTGTCCTGGTGCTGATGGTCAGTTCCGTGTCCTGGTGCTGATGGTCAGTTCCGTGTCCTGGTGCTGATGGTCAGTTCCGTGTCCTGGTGCTGATGGTCAGTTCCGTGTCCTGGTGCTGATGGTCAGTTCCGTGTCCTGGTGCTGATGGTCAGTTCCGTGTCCTGGTGCTGATGGTCAGTTCCGTGTCCTGGTGCTGATGGTCAGTTCCGTGTCCTGGTGCTGATGGTCAGTTCCGTGTCCTGGTGCTGATGGTCAGTTCCGTGTCCTGGTGCTGATGGTCAGTTCCGTGTCCTGGTGCTGATGGTCAGTTCCGTGTCCTGGTGCTGATGGTCAGTTCCGTGTCCTGGTGCTGATGGTCAGTTCCGTGTCCTGGTGCTGATGGTCAGTTCCGTGTCCTGGTGCTGATGGTCAGTTCCGTGTCCTGGTGCTGATGGTCAGTTCCGTGTCCTGGTGCTGATGGTCAGTTCAGTGTCCTGGCGCTGATGGTCAGCTCAGAGCCCCTGGCTGGCCCTTGGGGACGTTTCTCCAGCCGGGAGCGCTGCCTTGGCGCGAGGGCCAGAGTTCAGTGCCCGGCTGGGAACAAGCCTCTCGGGCTGCTCCTTGCCCCCTGGCAGTGCCCTGCAGGTGCCCAGATGCCAGGTGGGAGCAGGGCACTCCCTCCTGCAGGAGCCCCTCGCTCCGTGCTCGCGGCGCTGGGAACGCGCTGCCACGGGCGCGACCTCCGCGAGTGACAATCGCCGCCTTGTCCAGGCCTGATGAGAGCGCTGCCACCCTGCCAAGGCTTCGGCTGCCTTTGTGGCACCAAACCCCTGGGTCTGCACCGTGCCAGGCTTCCAGAGCAGAGCTGAGGGTTTAATGATGTGCCTGGGAGGCAAAGCTGTGCTTAGCGAGACTTGAGCTGGGCTTTGGAGAAGCTGCTGGGATGTGGACTGCAGCCAGGGAAAGGTGGCCCTGTCCCTGCAGGGGTTGGAATCATCCTTAGGATCCAGGATTCCAGTCCGTGGGTTCGTGCACTGGTTTGTCAGTAAAGGAGGCAGCATTGTGACCAGAGGGATGGAGCATTTCCCCTGGGAGAAAGGCTGAGAGAGCTGGGATTGTTCAGCCTGAGAAGGGAAGAAGTTACTTCCAAAGGCCTGGAGTGCCAGGACAAGGGGAATGGCTTCCCACTGCCAGGGGGCAGGGGTAGGTGGGAGACTGGGAAGGAATTGTTCCCTGGAGGGTGGGCAGGCCCTGGCACAGGTGCCCAGAGCAGCTGTGGCTGCCCCTGGATCCCTGGCAGTGCCCAAGGCCAGGCTGGACAGGGCTGGGAGCAGTCTGGGACAGTGGGAGGTGTCCCTGCCATGGCAGGGGTGGCACTGGGATGATCCTTAAGGATCCTTAAGGTCCTTTCCAAGCCCATTCTGGATTCTGTGATTAATGGGAATCTATCTATTTCTAATTCTATCTATTCTATCTATATCTATATCATCTGTATCTATATATCTATATCTATATCGAGGAATCTATTTATATCTAATTCTGCAATCTATTCCATTCTGGAAAAATCTTGCTAAAATTCTGAGCCCTGTTTGTGACCCCCACGTTCTCCTGCAGTGCTCCTGCAGGTGTGTGCCAGAGGAGCTGCCCAGGGATGCCAGGGCTGGAGCAGCAGGGGGAAGGGGTGAGGAGGGGAGGAGGGCAGGGACACAGAGGAGCAGGAGGTGCCCTGGCACTGCTGAGTGCACAGGTGGCTGGGCAGGGACAGGGACAGGACTGGCACCAGGGAGGGACGGTGGGGGTGGCATTTCACACCTCTGCTGGAGGAGGCAGCCTCAGGAGCAGATCCAGGGAGGATCTCTCCAGCCTGTCTGGATGTGCAGCATTCCCCAGGGCCCTGTTTGCTGGCACGGCTGGAAATCACCAGCTTTGGTCTGCCAGAACTTTTCCTGAGGCAGTGACTGTGGAACTTGTCCTGTCCCTCCTCCAAAGGGTCCCCAAGGGCTCCTGGGTGGGACTGCTGGGGGCTTCCCCAAACTCAGCCCTGCTCCATGTCCCTGCAGGGGGAGGAGACGTCAAAATCGAGAACCAGAAGCTGAACTTCAAGGAGAAGGCCCAGGCCAAAGTGGGATCTCTGGACAACGTGGGGCACTCGCCGGCCGGAGGAGCCGTCAAGGTGAGGGCAGGGATCTGGCACAGCCAGGGAATGGCTTTGGTCCAGTTCTGGTCCTTCTGCTGTGCTCCTGCTGTGCAGCTCCTCCAGCACAGCCTGGCACAGCCTCCTTGCTTGTGAGGCCTCTGCTGTGCACCCCAGGGTGGGGATGGAGCCCTGGGTGAGGCTGGAGCCCAGGGGGAGGATGGAGCCCTGGGGGAGGATGGAGCCCAGGGGAGGATGGAGCCCAGGGGAGGATGGAGCCCAGGGGAGGATGGAGCCCTGGGTGAGGCTGGAACCCAGGGGGAGGATGGAGCCCAGGGGGAGGATGGAGCCCAGGGGGAGGATGGAGCCCAGGACAAGGATGGCTGGAAAGGAGAGAGCTGGACCCACCTCGGGTGCCTGACCCTGCAGGGCATTCCCAAGGGCTGGCACTGCCCATCTCCATCCTTCCTCCTGGAACCTGAGGGCAGGGATCACTGCAGGCTGTGAGCCCAGCAGAGAGGGTGGCAGTGGCCATGGCCCAGCACAGGGCTGGCAGGGGCCTTCACCCCCAGTGAAAGCTGCTGAGATCCACGTGCTCTGTGCTGGGGGAGAGCACCTGTCAGTCCTGGGAGCATTTACAGATCCATGGAATGCCCTGAGCTGGAAGGGGTCTGTCCAGCCCAGTCCTTCAGCCCTGTTTGTGGGGGTGAGAACAGAGCACAGCTCTCGTGGCTGATTCATCCCTCCTCCCACAAGAACACAGACTGTCCCCAGCCTCGGCTCTGCACGCTCCGGGTCTGGCTGCAGCAAAGGGACATCTGTGCCCAGGGAGGGGACATTCCCTCCCTGAGGGATGTGTGGGCCTGGCACAGCCCCAGGGAGCTGGGAATTGTGCTCAGGAAAATCGTGACACCCCTACAATGGCAGGGACACCTCCCACTGTCCCAGGCTGCTCCAAGCCCCTGTCCAACCTGGCCTGGGACACTGCCAGGGGTCCAGGGGCAGCCACAGCTGCTCTGGGTGTCCCCAGGTCATGATCCAGTGTCAGAGCCGTGACCCCATGCCAGAACACGGGGGTTTGTCCCTGGCATTCCCTGTGCCGGCTGTTCAGGCTGCCCAGCTGTGCTGCAGCTGAGCTCCGGGACCGAGGGCACTCGGAGGAGCTCCAGGGCCCGGGGTCCGTCAGACCCCGCAGGGCCGGGCAGGATCTGCTTTCCCAGGAGCGGAGATTCCCGCTGCCATCTCCTGCCGTCCCTGGCGTGGCTGTTGACCCGTGCCCGCGCTGTCGTTGCAGGCGGAGGGCGGCGCGGAGCCGGCGCAGCTCCCGCCGGCCAACGGAGCGGGGCCGGGGCCGGGCGAGCCGCCCGCGGGCCCCGCGCTGCGGGAGAACGGCGTGGGGCCGGGCCTGGCCGCCCTCAGCACCGCCGACCAAAGGGAAATGCAGAGCCTCGACACTCACATCCAAGAAACAAGTAAGTGCCGGCGGGGAGGGAGCCCGGGGGAGGGAGCCCGGCAGCCCCCGACCGCTGCTAGCGACGTCTGCAGGGTTGTCGTGCCTTTCTTTTAATTCAGAAAATTGCCTTTTATCTTCCAGGCATCTAATGATGACATTATGGTATCGTCTTCCATTCCCCTCCTGTCCCTTGTCTCCTCCTCTCCCCGTGTCCCCTTGTCCCCTGCCCTTGTGTCGCTGCAGATTGAGTCTCACAAGCTGACGTTCCGTGCGAAGGCCAAGGCTCGAACAGACCACGGAGCGGAAATCGTCGTCTCCAAACCCCCCACCCTTTCCAGCAGCACCTGCCCCCGGCGTAGCACCTCCGCCAGCGACAGCCCGGGCTCCGGCGCCTCCCCGCCACCGCTGCCGCCGCCGGCCGCGCCCTCCCAGCAAGGCTTGTGACCCCCGGCCCCGCTCCGCGCCCCGGGGACCCCAGCTTGGCTCTCTTATCCCGGCTCTGGCTTTAGGTGGGAAGGGGACGATGTTCTTGGGCCGGGCCGCTCCGGAGCGCTCGGCCCCGCCCGGGCTGGGGTCCCTCGGCGGCCGGGCGGGCCGGGCAGGGCTCCCCTCCCTCCATCCTCCCTCCCTCCCTCCATCCCTCCCTCCATCCCTCTCCGTGCCCTCCCGCTGGCCCGGGGACTCTCGGGTTGCTGCGCCTCGGGGCCGAGCGGGCAGAGCAGAGCCCCGGGCGGGCCGAGGCCAGGCCGAGTTAACAGGGATAAGCTGTGATCTTTCTTTCTGTCTCTTTTTTTAACCCCTTCCCTTCTCGCCGCTTCAGTTTCTGCCGCCTGTGGGATGCTGATAAATCCCCTCCACACTCGTTAGGCTGTTTTAACTGTTGACTTGAACCTTTTATTCTTTGTGACGAAGTGTTGATGATTTATGGTGTTCGAACCCGTGCTAAGTTTCCTTTTCTCTTTCCTTCTTTTCCGACCCGTAGGAGAGTAGGGACATTTAACCGCTGCTGCCGTGCTGGCTTCTTACTGACATATCCAGCCGTTGTAACTTCTTTGTTGTTGTTTGGGGTTTTTTCTTTTTAATATTTTAAAACGATGGAGCGAGTTCATGGGATTAAGCCATGTCCGGAACGAAAGGCACAGGAATGTGTAAAGGGCAAACTTGCTGTGAGAGCTCAGGTGGAGCCTGTGTTGACCTCGAGATGTGTAATTGATGCTCGAGATGCGTTAATTGATGCTCGCGAGCCCTCCCCGGGCGCCTTCTGCCGAGGTGGTTTATTTATTAACGGCACGGCCGAGCCCTGGCATTTCTCCCGTTTTTCCAGGGCCGAGGCTGGAGGAGCAGGAGGGCCGGGAGTTGCGAGGCTGCAGCAGGTCCGTGGGGGTGTGGGGAGCGTGTGGGGGTGTGTGGTTTTTGGGGTGATGATGGGGGACCCGAGCGAGCGCCGGGATGAGCAGGGCCTGCAGGGGCAGGGAAGGGCAGCGCTCATCCCGGGGCGGCAGGGCAGGCTTGGTGCCAGGAGTCGCAGCTCTGACTAGGAAGGAGATCGAACCACTCTTGGAGCTCCTCGTTTCAAATGACACTAAAGAAACGAAATGTAAATAAATTAAAACAAAAGAAAAGTGTTCTTGGGTGGTCAAACTAATTTAAAGAAAAAAAAAAAAAAAAGGCAAGCAGAATAACAAAACACTGGGATCAAAGAGAACTGAACCAGGCGTGTGCTAAGGGGGGCTGCTCCAGGAGGGGACAGAGGGAAGCCTGCAGCTTCTCGTGCTTGTGGGAGTGTTTCTTTGGGAAGCCAACAACGACACGATAACCCGGAATCTGTATTTACACACAAAGATTCTTATTGCACTTGTATTTTTTATATTAAAGTTTGCATGGTTTCTAATAAAATGGCATTAAAATGTACTAGTTTGCATCAAAGTCGTCTGGTAGTTTCATAAGTGCTTTTTCATCTGATTACAAATTTAAACGATGCAGATTTGCACCTGAAAGGGGCGGTTATATATACCCAGAGACCTCCCAGTGCTTCCCTTCCCTTCCTCCTCCTCCTCCTCCTCCTCCTCCTCCTCCCCCTCCCCACCTTCCACTCCCCTCCGCATCCCTGTGATCCCGGCCGGGGAAGGCGGCCGTGCCGTCGCTCCCTGCCCTCCCTGTGTCCCGGTGTCCCGGAGCAGCCCCCGGCCCTGGCTCGGAGGAGGAGCTGGAGGCGGCCCCGCTCCCGCCCTGCTCGTTCCCTGGGTGCCGGTATATATCACTGCCCTCCCGTGACGCTTCCTTCTTTCTGTACTGCTAAATTCCACACACCAGCTTCAGCTTGGCAGCCTTGCCTTTGGTTTGGTTGATTTTTTTTCCAACACTTGAATTGAGGGAAAATTAGAAGGAGAGGAGAGGAGCAGGGTGAGCCCCTGGGCAGGACGGTGAGCCTGGAGCCTGGTTCCCAGGCTGGAGCCTCCTGGTTCCCGGCCTGAGAGCAGCCAGGGTGGCCTTGGCAGGGCTGGAGCCGAGCTCCAGGCTCACAGCCGGCAGGGAGCAGAGTTTGTGCTGGGTGGAGATGTTCGTGGGCAACCAAAGAGGCGGCGGAGGCTGAGATGTCGCGTTTGTCTTGCTGCTCTTCTGGGGCACCCCAGGCCTCTGGTGGCCTGGGATGTCCCAGGATGAGATTCCCGGGATGTCCCAGGATGAGATTCCCGGGATGTCCCAGGATGACATTCCCGAGGTGTCCCGGGATGACATTCCCTGGGTGCCCCAGGATGAGATTCCCGGGATGTCCCAGGATGACATTCCCTGGATGCCCCGGGATGACATTCCCGAGGTGCCCCAGATGAGATTCCCGGGGTGCCCCAGGATGACATTCCCGAGGTGTCCCGGGATGACATTCCCAGGGTGCCCTGGGATGAGATTCCCGGGGTGCCCCAGGATGAGATTCCCGGGGTGCCCCGGGATGACATTCCCGAGGTGTCCCGGGATGACATTCCCAGGGTGCCCTGGGATGAGATTCCCGGGGTGCCCCGGGATGACATTCCCGGGGTGCCCCGGGATGACATTCCCGGGGTGCCCCGGGATGACATTCCCGGGGTGCCCCGGGATGACATTCCCGGGGTGCCCCGGGATGACATTCCCGGGGTGCCCCAGGATGAGATTCCCGGGGTGCCCCAGGATGACATTCCCGGGATACCCCAGGATGACATTCCCGGGGTGCCCCAGGATGACATTCCCGGGGTGCCCCAGATGAGATTCCCGAGGTGCCCCAGGATGACATTCCCGGGGTGCCCAGGCGAGGCCCCGGGCGAAGGGAGGCAGCCGGTCCCGGTTCAGGGACTGCAGGAGGAAGGCAAGTGGCAACATTGCACTTTATCTTCTGAGATTGCAAAAATCAAACGAGCCCTGCCCCGCTGCAAAGGGACAGTGACGTCACCTTCTCCCTGCGCTGCTTTTCTCCAATTTCCGATGATTTCCCGAGCGCGGGGCGGCGGTGGCTGCGTGCGGTGCCCAGGCTGTCCCTGCCCAAACCCCGGCCCAGCTGAGCCCCGGCCCGTGCTTCTGTGCCACTTCTCTAACACTTGTTGTGCCTGTGTTTAGCTGATGAACTAAATCCAGATACACTAGTTTGCCGTGGTGTTTCTAGGACAGCTTCAGTTTTAATACGGATTTCTTTTTTAACTTTATTTTGAGGAAGCGGCTGTACATATTGCTAGGCTGGGAAGGAGCCGTGTGTGCTGGGAATGACTTTAGTTTCCTGTCTGGAGAGGTGGGATGAGCTGGGTAGTGCTGAGACCTTAACGCTGCTGGGGCAGGGGCTGCGGGCGCCGGTGGCTCCATCGAGGGCTGGAGGCAGCAAACCCGGGGGGAAGCAGGAGCCGAGCTCTGAATGAGATGCAAGTTGAATGTACGCGTTCCCGTCCGGCTTTGGCGCACTGCGGGGCTCTGGGCTGGGCAGGGGCTGAGCGGGGCCAGGCGGGCGCCGGTGGCTGGCTCCGGGCAGGATGCTGGCGAAGGCTTTGCAGAGCTCGGGGCGAGGAGCGGTGCCCTGGAGGGGCTGAGCTGCCCAAGGGCTGGGGGAAGCGGCGCGGCCGGGTGCGAGCTCCATCCCGGCGGGGCTGAGCCTCCCCGGGCCGGCAGCGGGCGGAGCCCGGCGCCTCCCGGCATATCAGTGGCATACACACACAGTTCTTTGGGCTTTTTGTACTGTTAAACAGCGACATTCAAGTAACCGAGTTCGTGGGCTCGAGGCCGCGGCCGCCCCAGGGCGCGGCTCCCGCTCGGCTCCCGGCCGCAAACTGAATGTAGTTTTTCTACGCTGCCCCCGCGCTGTCCCCGCGTAGTGTGGTGTGTGAGAGGGGCCCGGGCCCTCGCGTGTTCGTGTCTAGGCAGAATTCCTGCTTTTCTTGGAGCTTGGTGTCGGTGGCGTTCTCGGGGTGACGGGGCTGCCCTGAGGGCAGGGCCGAGTCCCCGCGGAGCCGCGGCCCGGCTGAGGCCGAGCGGCCGCGGCGGAGCTCAGCGACCTCCAGGCTTGGAGAAATGTCCCCAGGGCCGAGCGGCCTCCAGGCTTGGAGAAATGTCCCCAGGGCCGAGCGGCCTCCAGGCTTGGAGAAATGTCCCCAGGGCCGAGCGGCCTCCAGGCTCAGGGGAAATGTCCCCCAAGGCCTGGTGGCCCGCGGAGCCGGCGGGTGGGGCGGGAGAGGCCCCGGGCGGCAGCAGCAGCATGGAAAGGGCTCTGAGGGGCTCCGGCTCTCCCTCCTCCCTCCCCGCCTGAGCCCGGCCCGGGCAGCGCTCGCACGGGTCCCGCCGGCCGAGGTCACCCACGAGGCCGCACCGCGCCCCTGCCGATCCCCGCTGTCCCTCCCGCAGAGCACCGAGCCGGCAGCGAGCGCAGTGACCGCGGGTGGGGGCGTGCGGCCGGGCGGGAGGGCTCGGGGCAGCGCCCCGGAGGGCGATCCCGGCCCTCGGCTCCCTCCGTGGTCTCGGGAAGCCACTCAACCTCTCTGCCTCAGTTTCCCCATCTGCAAAGGTGGGGGGGATTCAATTTTACCTCACCGGGCTGTTGTGAGGCGCGAGCAGCGCGTGACGTGTTCTCTAAATGTGACGTGTTATTATTATTTTGTGTCATAGGATTATTCTGCAGGGCGTGCCCGAGGAGGGGGACCGCGCTGTCCCTGCCGAGCTGGGGGAGGCGGGGGCCGGGGAGGGGAGGTCAGTGCTGGGTGTGAGACAGCAGCTCCGGGGCCGGGCAGCGCCCCCGGCCCGGGGGGAGCCCAGCGGTTCCTTCTGCCTTTGTGTCTCCCCTCCCCGGGGGCTGTAAGAGCGTCGTCTCCTTAGCAACATTTCCTGACTTGATGTTGTGATTCTTACTATTGTAAAGGGTTGAAATAAAGCTTCTAGATGTTCCTCCTCAGGCTGCTGTGGCTCTGTGGGGCGGGAGGCCGGGCGGGGGCGGTGGCACAGCCCGGGCCACCCGAGGTGGTGCTGGCAGAGCGCTGAGGAAGGCGCTGAGGGAATTTGGGTGTGTCTGATTTCAGCCACAGGACAATTCCCATCCCTGGCTTTGCTCCGCAAGGCTGGGCTCAGAGGGGAGGGGGCTTTGGGCTGACATGGGCCCATGGCACAGCAGCTGGCACAGCTGGCACAGCCAGAGGTACCAGCACCTCCCAGGAGGTGCCCCTGGCCACTCACGCAGATGAAAGAAAAGGTTTCCCACCCTGGCTTGGACCTGACCTGAGACCCCAAACCGGACTGTGACCCAAGTTCCAGGTCCCGGTGCCTGGAGCAGCAGCTCCTGTGCCCTCCTTGAGCGCTGCTGTGGGAACAGCCCCAGCTCCAGCCACGCTCAGCTGCCCCAGACACGGGCACAGGAACACCCTGGCTTGGCTTCCTCACACGAGGCAGCTCTGGGACACCCTGGGCTGGTTTCTCCAGGCACCAGCAGCCCCAGGACACGTCCCCCCAGCAGCCGTCCCTCAGTGCCAGCCCCCTGTGCCCCTGTCCCCTCGGGGTGGCTGGGGTCGGTCCCCCACAGCCCCAGGGCAGCTCTGCACCGCTCCCAGCAGAGAAGGAGCTGTTGCTGCTCTTCCCTACCCAGGGAAAGGCACAAAATTCCAACCTTTGCAGAACAAAAAATAGTAAAAAAAAAAGAATGAAGAGGACAGAGGCAGTTCCTACTCTATCCCTTTTTATTGTCTTTAATCTATGTTGTAAAAAGATCCAGTATCACATAACAGCCACGGAAGTATCCCAATATCACACTAGTTCGGAACCATTTAGACAATAGCTTAGTCTTTTTTTTTTTTTTGTCCTTTTTTTTCATTTTTTTTTTTTAAACCTGCTGGAAGGGAAAACCATACTGCCCATTATACAGGCCAAAAGAAACAAACACTGGTCAAATAATAGTGACAACCTCAAGCAAGTGAAATGAAGATGAGCAGTTCGGAGTGACCCCAGGCTGCAGGACTCCAAGGGCGTCCCCACGGCCGGGGCAGCGGAGCCTCGGGAGGGCCCCCGGGCCTTGTGCTGGCACAGCCCGGCGCCCCAAAGCCCATGAGCAGAACTTAAATGGTAGAACTGGGAGAACCAAAGGGTGGCCCCGGGGGGCGCGGGGCAGGAGCCCCAGCGCCATGGAAACGGCCTCGCTCCCATTCCCGGCTGCAGGTACAAAGAGCGTAAGAAATGGGAATAAAAAGAAAGGAGCCCAGGCCCCGGGGGGCACAGCCCTGGGCCCGAGGGCTCCCGTTACAAACCCCGACCCTCACAACAGCCCTGTGAGGTAGGTCACTGTCTTCTTCGGACAGAGAATCCAAGGCAAAGCTGGGATTAAACTCCAGATTCCTCAGTGAGTGCTGTGCCTGTCGCAATCCTCCTTCCACAGAAATATGGTCCCTGTTCATAGAAAACAAAGGTTTTGTGCCTCTGCTCCTGGCTTCCCGCAGGAGCGGCGCTCACAGGCAGCCTGGCAGCTACAATCACGTCCTGTGTTGCACAAGGGACAGGGATTCGGCCTCCTCCACGTAGGGAGAACAGGAATTTAAAAAAAATCATAGGAACAACGCAAGAGGACGAGAAGTACAGGCAGGTTGGGAAGGACGAGTCACATCTCACACTCAGACGCCACGACTGTGCTGGGGCTGGCAGGGCCCCTCGGATCCCGCGTGGAATTCCCGTCCATCCGGTGCTTTCGGGGCTTCCTCCATGTGGAGAGCGGAGAGACGACGATCAGCGATCCCTTCCCTGCCGGAGCTGCTGCATCCACGATCCTGGCACAGCCGGGACATCCGTCCTCCTCTTGAGCCCCGAGCGGCTCTGGCCCCGTGGGGAGGGGGCAGAGGAGGGCCCGCAGCAGCCGTGGCCTTGCTCCCGGTCAGGGACGAGCGGAGGAGGCGGGTGGGTGTCCGCGAGCCGGGGTCCGTCGGCACTCCCAGTCCATTCCCGGCGGGACTGCGCTGCTCTTCCCACGCGGTGACCATGCACGGAGCCGACAGCAGGAGATTCAGACAACATTAATCTTCTAGGATGGAGAGAGATGACTTCACAAGGGATAAATAGAACTTTATTTAAATAAACATTTGTGAACATCTTTATACAAATTACAAGTCCCCACACGAGGCTGCAGCTCCGCCTACGAGCCGAAGCTGCCGGGAGGGCCCTTGAGCAGATCCACCAGGATGTCGAGCAGTTGGCTGTGCTGGTGGTGCAGGTCCCCGGGGATCGCGGCCATCTCGTAGCACAGGCACGTCTCCACCATCTTGGAGAGGGACACGCGGAAGTCGCGCAGCAGGCGGATGGTGTAGGAGTCCCCCTCCAGCACCAGCAGGTCGCTGTCCGTCAGGGACACCGTCGCTCGCCAGCCGTCATCTTGGGGGAGGGAGAGCGCGTCAGGGGGAACGGGGCTGCTGGGGCTCCTCGGCTGCCCCTGAGGCAGCTCCTCCCCACACTCGGTTTAGCCGGTCCAGGGACTCGGCTGGGCCAACAGCTCCACAAAAGCCAGGCGGCTCTGAGCACACTCTGGGATCCTCCTGGTTTCCCACAGGAGGTGACCGATGGCACAGCCCTACTGAGCTCGTGGGCTAGCGACCGACTGCAGCACTGCCAAAACCCCACAGGCTGAACAGACACATCCCCAGGGACAAGTGGGATCCTGCCAGCTCAGCTCCTTGCCCCAGGATGATCAGGCACAGCCCTAAGGCTCAGCCTGCCAGGGCTGTCTTTGTCTCCCTGCAGAGCAGCAGCTGGGAACAGCTCACAAACCATCACCTCCATGGCCCCGCCACAGCAACGCATGGCCAGCCTGAGAGCCTCGGGAAGCAGGAACTGGGGCCAGGGAGCAGCTGGAGCAGGCTGGGTGCCCTGAGCACTCACCTCGCACGTGGATGTCGGTGTCAGTCATGAGCAGCACGGCCAGTGGGTGCACCTGGGACGAGTCGCGCACGAAGACGCCGCCGTTGGACTTGACGGCCATGAAGTAGGTGAGCCAGCGGCTGTAGAGCTTGGATGCCTCCCTGCAGGAGCAGCTCTGTCAGCCTGGCCAGGCCTGGGCACAGCCACCGCCCCGTGGGACCCCCTCCCCGATCACCCACCTGTTGATGGTGGACTTGTGCAGCAGCACGGTGCCGGCCTTGGTCCGGTACGCGTAGCTGTTGGGCTTGAACTTCCCCTGGCGTGTCACCTTGCCTTGCCTCACCTGCCACGGGAGGGGACTGTCACACACCTGCACCAGCAGCAGCCCTAACAGCCACAGCTCCCTCTGACAGAGGGAGGGGGATGATGTCCCTCCACTCCCAGGAAGTCCACGGGTTAGTGGAGCGTTCCTGGGGTAACCACACCTGGCAGTCACTCAGTGCCACCAGAGACAACAGGAGGAGGAAGATGCCACCTCAGGCAGCAAACAGGAGAAAAATGCCACTTCAATGGCTCCCAAACCCAGTGATGAGAACCTAAACATGGACCCACACAAGCTGGGGTGGCCACTCCCCGTGAGCGGGGATCAGGGACAGCACTGGAGCACAGGCCGGAGCCCAGGGCAGGACACTCACTCCCAAGAGAGCAGAAGCTTCTCTGGCACCTCAGCACTTCCCGGTGCCACCTGCTGTGACAGCCCCCCCCAGAGAGCAATGGCAGTGGCAGTACCTGGATGAGGTTGGGGTAGAGCCCAGCCATGAGGACACCCTTGACCAGTTCCTCCTCCTCACTGTACTGGTTACACACAGACGAGGGCATGGTACAGTCAGACGGGGATGACACCAGGAAGGCTTCATAGAGATTCTCAGAGAACTGCTTGACGAGGCCTGGAGGGAGGAGACAGCCCCAGAGGTGAGATTCACCCTCTCCTTCCCCCCGTGGAATGAGTCACCTCAGCAGGGCAGCACCACCCGGGCTGGGACAGGAGACCTGTCCTGGGCCAAAGCCAGACCCTGCCTGGTCCTGCGGCTGCTGGCCCAGCACAGCCCATTTGTGCCCCGTGTCCCTCCCTGCGCAGCAGCCGCCCGAGGCCAGGGCAGGGGCAGGAAGGCTCTGAACTCACCGTTGATGAAGCGCAGGCTGGGCCCGTACAGGTAGTAGTCCTGCAGGTAGTTGTCCCTGGCACGGCTGTCCCTGCGCCGCAGCACCTCCTCCCAGCCCGCCACCGCCCGCACGAAGGCCAGGTGGTCACTGCCGCTCTCCCGGCTCAGCACGGCCTTGGCCTGGGACAGGGACACAGCTGAGCCACGGGCAGCCCCCGGCCCAGCTCCCCTCCTGTGCCGGGGGGCTCCTCACCTTGTCCACCTCGGCGCGGTTCTGCAGGCTGCTGCTGAAGGGGTCCCGCGTCAGGCACGACACGATGACCAGCAGCGGGTGGAGGCAGCGGTAGATGGAGGCCAGCACGATGGCCTTGGCCAGCCGAGGGTCCGTGGAGATCTGCGCCAGGCGCTTGCCCAGGGTGGTCAGCGCTTCCCGCTGGTCCAGCACTCCTGCAGGAGAGCCACCCGTGTGGCACATCCATCAGCTCCCAGCACAGCCAAAGCAGGGGATGGGGGAACTGCCGGGGCTGGGAAGATTTGGGGTGACCTCCAGAAGAGGCACACGGACAGGGGCCTGCAGTAAGCACCCAGAGCCCCCCAAGTTCAGCTGAGCTCAGGACACAGAAACTGCTGTCACAGCCACAGGAGCATCCACAAGGCCCAGCCCTGAACTCCAGATCACCCCTTCCTTCTGTCCCTCAGCCATCAACTCCAGATCACCACTTCCCTTCTTTCTGTTGCCTCCCCTTTATTTTTTTAACCTTAGAAAGTTATCCCCGGTTTTTATGCAAAGCAGGGTGGGAAATAAAACAGCACAGGGCACGTCGTTTGGGGAAGTCACTGTCAACTGCTATCCAGGGACAATCCTGCCCAGTCTGCCCCACAGCAGCCTGTGCCAAG